ATGTCCATTTCTGGAGCCTACACTTCTCTACACACCGTGACTGAAGTTTCTAAGGAATGTTCAGCCACTGTCATAGCCTGGAGTGTCACGTGACATCTGAAGTACCTTCTGCGTCAACCACTCAAGGTCATTGGCCTCGCAAGGGCTTTGGAGAGAAACGAAAGAAAAAAGAAAAAAAAAAATCAATTGAAGTGCTTGAGGTGTGTGTGATGCCAAACTTTATTTATTTATTTTGAATGGTCTGTCTCTGTTTAAGAGTTAATTATAGGCATTTTTTTGGGGCAAGGGGAGGAAATATTTGCAATCGTTATCACTTCTAAATCAAGTGTTTTTTTTTCGAATCGTACGATCGATGGAAAGTATTACCGATAAATGGCCCTCGAGATCTTGCCCTTGACCTCAAAGGATCAAGCCAGAGACTCCCTTGCAGAGCAACCCGACCCCACGCAACAGTCGCCGAACTAACGCGGGAGAGGGAACGTGTCTCCCGGCCGGGCGCGACGGCTGTGAAAACTCTACGGACATGGCTACCCACGTTTCACTACTCGAACTCTTATGGGTTATTAGTACCGTCGGTTTTCAACGCTGAATCGGATAGTTTTGAGGTTTCGTGATGGGTATTTGTGCTTTGAGCTGCCGGGTGTTGTTTTTCGGGGTGTGCAGGTAGATGTCATAAGGTAAGGTAATTACATTTCTTGATACCAGTTTCTCATTGGTATGTACTGTATTTATTTTAAAAATATATACAGTATAAACCAATATTTAACTATACACACAAACCCATATAATATACGTATACATGTATATACATATCTATATGTATATGTATACATATGTAATCAAATTGACGATAATAATGATGAAGATAATAATAATAACAGTAATGATAATGATAATGATAATGACAGTCACACTAATGACATTGATGATGATAATGAAAATAGTAATGATAATGATAATAATCATAATAATCATAATAATAATAGGGATGAAAATGATAATTATTATCATTATTGTAATTATTATAACAATAATGATAATGATAATGATAGTAGCAATAATATCTATGATAACAATAATGATAATGATGATATAACAATGACAATGATAGTAACAATAGTAAGAACAACAACAGTGATAATTAGATAATGATAATAATAATAATAATAATGATACTGATAATGATAATGATGATAATGATAATGATAATAATAACAATGCTACTACTACTACTAATAATGATGATGATGATGATAACAATGATGATAATAATGATAAAAAAACAAAGCAATAAGGTGATAATAATGATAATGATAATGATAAGCGTAAAGATGATAATAACAAATAATGATGAAAATAATAATAACGATAAGATAATTATTCTAAGAATAATGAGGATGATGATGGTGGTGATAGAAAATGATGATAAAGGCAACGAAAGAAATAATAATGACAGCGATAGGAATAGAGATGAAGCTAATGATGATAATAACGATAAAGATGATGAAAGTAAGGATAAAGATGCTTATAGTAATGATAATGATAATAATGATAATATGAGGGAAGGAATGATGCTACTACCATTAGTAATGTAATAATGATCATAATGATGATTAAGATATTAATTGTGATGATTAAAATAATTATGGTAATGATGATGATATTAATGATGTTAACACCGATAATGAAGATGATAATGGTGATGATAACAATAATGATGACAATGATAGTAATAATGATAATGATAATAAAAGTAATAACAATAACTATGATAATCATAATGATAATGATAATAACAATGATTACGATAATAATGATAATGATAATAATAATAATAGTGATAGTATTGATAATGACAATAATGATGATAACAATATTGATAAACATGATGAAGATAATGATGATAATAATGGCAATGATAATGATGATAATGATAATAATAACAACAATGATAACAAGAATAAATAATGATAGTAATAATGATGATAACGATAACAATAATAATGATAATAATAATAGTAATGATAATGATAATGATAATAATGATAATAATAATGATGATTATAATAATGATAATGCTAATATTAATCATAATCATAACGACAACAACAACATCAATACCAACAACAGCAACAACATCAACATCAACATCAACAGCAACAACAACAAAAAAAAACAACAATAACAACAACAACAACAATAATAATACCAATAACACCATTAATAGCAACAACAACAACAATAACAACAACAACAACAATAATAATACCAATAACACCATTAATAGCAGCAACAACAACAACAATAACAACAACAACAATAATAATAACACCAATAACACCATTAACAGCAGCAGCGGACGCATCGCCAGGAAGCCGATCTTGGCCCCAATTGACTCCACAAAGAAAACCTTGTCTTCGGACTTTTGATGTTCCCGGCAGATCTTTGTGGGTTAATGGCCCTCGCCACAAGCGCTTCCTCCTTCCGCTCCTTCTTGTCT